TTTTAGTGTGTTGCAGGTCTATTTTCAGTACAGAACACTGACAAAGGGAACTAGTTAGTTCTGTTCGTCTAGTTATTCTTTTTCTTTAGAGGATATCACTGTAGTATGAATTATGCTATGAAAGGAAGCAGTGGTCTGTTCTAGCAGCAAACCATGGCATTTCCTAGAAGTACGTGTATCATCCCTTATTGACATGAGTGGCCCTCAGTCATGTAGATAGTGAATGCGCCTGAGGAAAAAACTATGTATATCATTTAATTCAGAATAAATACAATTATAATACAAGAAGACAGAAAACACGTGGTACATCAATATATCACAGAAATCACTAGTTTATGTGGGTTGTAGAAGCTGTGAAGTCCACCTTAGTATTTGTAAGGTTTATGGTAATTGAGCAGCCAAACAGAGCTTGAGCTACAACTTACAGTTCAACACGCAGTAAAGGGTTATGTACTAAAGTGACCAAGTTTAGTAAGGGATTCTAGCTAAAGCTGTGCAAGAAAAAAAAGGATACTACATTATAAGGAAGAAATAACAACTGTATTAAGTTGATGCATTTTCTTCATGTTTACGTAATATGAAACTTTCATTATGCAATTCTGATACTTTTAATTTGTTTGTTTGTATTTTCTTAATGGCATTTTTACGTTGAATGTATGTAGGTTGTAAAAAATTATTTTTGTTTCAAATTCCTGTATTTTCTTATTCACAGGCAGGATATTAAAAATGTTTTTAAAGCTGGTCATTAACCATGCTGTTACCAAAATTACTTCTTGTGCTTGTTTAACTTTTCCAGATACAGCCTCAGGTGGATCAGATGATTGGGCCTATGGCTATGCAGGCATAAAGTATTCTTTCACTGCAGAGTTGAGAGACACCGGCAAGCACGGATTTGTTCTGCCTTCCAACCAAATCATACCCTCGGGAGAAGAACTGTGGATTGCCGTCAAAGCTTTGGCTTCAGAAATTCGGAAAGAATTGTAAATCTTTGGCTTTTAAAAATTCGAAAGAAAAAAACACCTTCCTACTCTTCAACACTTTAACATGCATGGCCATGCCTTTGAAAATATTACACTAATAGATTTAGATTATGATGGTTTTAAATTTAAAAGGGACAGAAAAATGGAGGAAGCTTTCAAGATAGAGGTTCTGACTTCTGTAACCCTAAACAGCATTTATCTCTACCACGAAATTTTTAATTTTGTGATGACATAAAAGACTCCAAAAGAAACGTTACCAATTTGTAATTGTTTTATAATCTTTAGTTTTAGTTACTTTCCTGGCTTTCCCTGTTTGATATTCGTTTTTTTTGTTGTTGTTTTTTTGTATATGTTTGTTTGAGTGAGAGTATATATTTATATATTTATTTTTTCTACTGTTATTCTTTATTTTTTTCTGCTTTCTTCCTTCTGCTTTTTTATTTTCCTTTTCAAACTTATTTTGACACTGTTTATGAAGTAATAAATTAACTGATAAAGTAGTGTTGTTGTCATTTTACTCTTTAACGTTTTTATAATCATCGCGCTCTTTACATTTTATAGTCTTCAAAATAGTTTTTAATTTAGAAGTCGTACATATATATATGTGTTTGTGTATATATGTATGTACGTGTATATATACGTATTTTACTTCCTTATTTTTCATTTCCAGTTTTAACGCCCCCTTTTTATCTTATTTTGAAACTATATCTTTTTATTATTTTTACTATTCTGTTTATTCTACAATAATTCTCTTGAGACGGTGAGGGTGCTTAACACCAACTCCTGTTCCTATGAAGCTATATATGGCTATGTTTAGGTAATTATGAATTTAAAGTGCATCTTCACGAAATATGGCAATGTGAATATAGAAAAATCTGTTTTATTTAAAAAAATCATATTTGTTATAAAGTATTTTTACTAAAAACACTTCTGCACATTTACGGAGACTGGCTGACTCGTCTGAGTGCAAAGTAATTTTCATTGCTAAGAATAAAACCTTATTTTCATCTTACAGTTTTTATATTTAATTTGCATAACCTGTAAAAATAAATATCAGTGATTTTTACGGTAATTTATTTTTTGCTTTTTATCTGTTGTTTTCTCTACCTTACACTAACTATAATTAAATCATCAATGTAGAGTGAAATTGAAATGAAATTTTGAAAATTGCGAAATAAAATGAACTTACCTTTTTGTTCTTTCTTCAAAATTTTCAATTTCAATATATTTTCAAAATAGAATTTTATGTTATTCACAATTTATAATCTATTTCTATTTCTATACTTTTATTGCCTGGTTTGTACGACGTTCGGTTTTCATCATACATCTATTTCTATTTTTATACTTTTATTGCCTGGCTTGTACGACGTTCGGATTTTATCATACATCTATTTTTATACTTTTATTGCCTGGTTTGTACGACGTTCGGTTTTTATCATACATCTATTTCTATTTTTATACTTTTATTGCCTGGCTTGTACGACGTTCGGATTTTATCATACATCTATTTTTATACTTTTATTGCCTGGTTTGTACGACGTTCGGTTTTTATCATACACCTATATCTAATTTTACACTTTTATTGCCTGGTTTGTACGACGTTCGGTTTTTATCATACATCTATTTCTATTTTTATACTTTTATTGCCTGGCTTGTACGACGTTCGGGTTTTATCATACATCTATTTCTATTTTTATACTTTTATTGCCTGGCTTGTACGGCGTTCGGTTTTTATCAT